CCCCAAAACCCCAAAACCCCAAAACCCCAAAACCCCTTTATGCTACAAAATATCTATTTTTTGCTAAATCAGGAGGATTATGGGTAGGCATTGCCAAGGATGTTGCGATAAAGGGCAGGTAATGAAGAAGCAGAGGGATGAAATAGAAGATCTAGATGATGAGATTTGGAGGAATGAGAAGTGTATTAAGAAGAATGAAAAGTGTATTAAGCATCTGAGAAATGTCATAAAGAAGCTTAATAATGGAGAATACCAACCTTACTATCTGAAAAACCAAGGAGATGACTTTGATGACGAATGAGAGGAGTGATCAGATCTTCAAGAAGAATTAGATCAATGAAATAATGTTATAAAAAATCTTAAGAAGCAACTGAAGAAGTCGCAGAAGGACTGGAAGAAGAAATTTGACCAGCTGGAGAGAAGGTTCCAGAAGAAAGCTCAGCAGTGAGGTAAGTGAAAAGTCATGGTTTAGAGGTGGGTAGGCAAGATATTACAGCCATGAAGGAAGAGAATGATGTGCTTACTATGATGTATATAAGCTTGGTGGAGGGGAATTCGAGGGAGAGGTGTCATGGGGGTGAATTTAAGCAACAGAGTGAAGAAGATAGGTCTTGGATATGGAATAATGATGAGGAGCAAAAGAAAATCCAGAGGGAGAATGAGAGTCTGAGGAAAGTTCTTGAGAAGAATAGATTGCATATTTCTGCTCTTCAGAAATCAACTTTGCCAAGAGAGCCTGTAATTGCTGCTCAAGTACCTGGATTAGGCCCTCCAAACTACCAAGGTAATCCAAAATTTTACTACTATTAGTATTATTCACGACCCTAATCAACAAGCTTCAAAAATCAATAGAGTGTCCTATCAGCTTCACCAGCATCACCTCTCCTGCTGTATGCCCATCAGGGAACACGGTCGACGAAGATGTCTTCCTCAAACTTGTAGCCTCCAACAGGTAAGCCTCTTTTATTGTCTTTCATGTATCATTTCCATGTAAATCCCTTGTTCCTAACCCAGCTGTAGTAAGGACCCGTTCACGAAGGTAGGGGACTGCAAAGCCTTGGTCGTTAACAGGTACTTTTGTACTGTAACATGTAGGTACATGCTTCAGGTGATCGCCATTCTGAAGGAATTTGGATGAAGAGTTGAGTAAATTAATTGTTAAGTGAGACAAGGATGAATCTTTTTGGGGTTTTGGGGTTTTGGGGTTTTGGGGTTTTGGGGTTTTGGGG